AGTAATCAACCATTGTAAGAGAGAGAGGAGTGAAATGGGTAGTGGTGTTTTTGGGAGTGATTGGTACGAGGGCAGTGAATATACTTGGGAGGAGATGAATCTAGGGTTTTGGTAGGTAGATTTGGGTGAGGGTGGGTTAAGAATGAAGATGATTGGAAAATGGGAGAAGCCGCCGTTGTAGAGAGAGAGATGAGTGATATAACACACTTGGATGGGTAGAGAGAAAGATGGAGAAGAGAGAGGAAAATGAGTTTGATTTCAACAGATAACACGTGTAGATCCAAACAAATTCGGCGTCCTTATGGAACCAAACAAAAATAAGACTATCCTTATGGACCAAAACAAAAAGGCCCTTGAATCTATGTCCTTAAAAGCCTATAGAATGGACCTATGGCCTCCGCACCTTTATTAGTATCTTAATATTAATTTATATTGAGTTTTCTATTGGCATGACATTTATATTTAATTTAAATGGATAAATTATAAATGCATGTTGATATTTGATTAAAATACGAATCGTTCTTATGGCTTTAAATTTATATTTTATCTCCTGAGATTTTTAATTTCATTACAAATCGTCCATTTTATTAATAAATCATTAAGTCAATTAAAAGCTGTTAATGATGTTAGAAATATATTTCAATTAATAATTTAAGTAATTTTATTATTGTATAGGAAAGTAATTATGAATTTTATTTTTTTAGTTAATTATGTTAAACAAAAAATTCTGATAAGTGGGTTTTTGTAATTTTTCAAATCACAAGAAGTAATTTGTATTTTTAAAACGCTTAGGGGGTATATTTGTAATTTATCCCATTTAAATTTTACACAACTATATACAATACGTGTTGATGATTCAAAAATAATGTTAAAGAAAAAACAAATACTCTATTTATGTATTTTCTTCTTAATTCAATTACAATATATTTATGTTTAATTCTTTAAATAAATTTTGTATAAGTTTTATTTTTACATATTTTTATTTTCCAAATGAATATGAAAAAAATTAAATAATTTGAATCACTTTTAATTTTATGTTATTAATTCTCTTTCTAATTAAACTATTATTTTTAATATCAAAATGATGATTTATTTTATTATTTTACAATTTAATATATATAATATAAAATCATTATATGATAATTATATTTTTATAGTACGATATTATTAAAATTATCAAAATACACAAATAGTTTAACTAAAATTATTATATATAAGTATTTAAGTAATACTTTTATATTACGATAGAGTTAAGATTATTAAATAAATAATAAAGAGTTACACTTTAATTTTATATTAAAATTAATATTATTCTTTTGTAACATATACATCATTATTATTTTGAAAGAAAAAAAAAATCTTGTACACCGCACGGACAAGCTACTAGTAATTAGGAATGACAATTTGAACCCGACCCGACGGGGACCCGACCCCCCGACCCCGGATTAAGCAGTTATTCACCGAAAAATACTCCCGACGGGCCGGGAATGGTATTAAAAAATTAATCCCCGATGATATTCGGGCCGGGGACGGGGATACATGTCCCAGACCCGGACCCGCCCCGCCCGCGACATCAAAATTACCATTATGTCCCTAGTATATATAGGTCTCGTTTGGCAGAGTTGTGGAAAAGTGATTATAGATTATACCTTAACAGATTATGACTTATAACTGTGAACATAAGCTGTTAACCTGTTTAGTATAGTTGTAGGATTATGGATATAAGCAACAGAGTAATATTTGGTTAATAAGCTGTAAAATAACTTTTTACTGTATAATTGTCCTTTCTGCCCTTATATGATATAAAAATGATTATTTTGTCATTTTTTTCAGTTTTAATTTAAAAAAATTATTTCATTAATAAAAGTTAATATAATTAGTATTAATTAGTATCAATTAATATAAAAATTGATACATTTGATAAAAATGTAATGGAAGTATTATTGTCATAATTTTTTTCCATTATAAATTAATTAGTACAAATTAATTGCTTAATTAGTATCAATTAATACTAAAATTATTAATTAGTATCAATTAATGGCTTAATTAGTCTCAATTAATACTAAAATTATTAATTAGTATGCAACTGCAACGGCTTTTCAGAACCTTGATTAATATTGATTTTTTTCTTTTTCTTCAGAAATATACAATTTTTTCTTTTTTAATTAATATTAATATTAAAATTTGTGTATTGATGAGGACATTTAAATAATTTTAGCCCCTACACCAGCTGCGCGCTTAAGTGGAAAATTTAAGTACCCTGACCAGGTTTTGAGATAAGTTGAGAAATAACTTAGGGTTGGTTTGGGATGTTCTAAAAAAGTGCACTTTTTGACTTATTGGCGTATATGGGTTGGGTTTGGGTTGGGTTTGATGTGATGTGTTGGAGAGGTGATGTGATTTAAATAAGATGATGTGACTTAAATAGGATAATGACTTTTTGACTTTTTGTATTATTTAGGTCATGCCAAACTTGTTAATTTAAATTATAAGTTAATTAATTTAAGATGCACTAAACATAATATTTTAACTTAATTTAAACAAGGCCTCGTTTGGGAACCTTCCTCTTTAGCCAAAAAGTCAAAAAGTTACTAAGGGGTTGTTTGGGATAATCTAAATAAGTGCACTTTTTGACTTTTTACAAAAAAACGTGAAATATGGATTGGGTTTGAAGTGATGTGGTAGAGAGATAATGTGATTTAAATGAGATGATGTGACTTAAATAGGATAGTGACTTTTTGACTTTTTGAATTTTTTATATTATGTCAAACTTGGCCTAAATTAGCCAAAAAGCCAACAACTCATACCAAAAAGTCAAAGATTCTCTTTTCTCTCTACTTTTTGCACATCTTTTCGTAAAAAGCCAAAAAATCATCCCAAACATACTAGTTTTTTTTAGCTCATATTTTAGTCAAATAGCCAAAAAATTACTAAATTAGTCTTTTTCCAAACAAGGCCTAAAAATTGAAATAAGCAACTTATAAGGTGGACCACACATCCCTATAATCATATGAATCCGGATCCTCCGTCGCCCTTTCCTGCGGCAGATCCCTATCGCCCTCCAAAACGACGTCGTTTTGGAGGTTTTTTTTTTTTTTTTTTTTGCAGTCGAAAATGGGGTGTCTACAGGTGGCTGAGGATCTGGAGTCAGTGGTGAGGCGGTACTAGGGGAGGAGGAAAATAGTGGCGACGGTGTAGAGAAAGGGGAGATGCAACGGAGAGAGGAGAGGGTTTTAAAGGGTTGTGACGGATGGGAAGGGACGCGGGAGACAAGGGGAGGTTTGGCGATGGGGGAAAAGGAGGGGTCGGATGCGATGAGGGGAGGGAAGGGTTCCGATGAACCTATAACTGATGTAAACTCCTTTGCAAGTTTGACTCGGGTATTTATCTTGATTGTTGAAATTGATTGTTATTTTGAAACTAAAAGGAATAAAAAAAAAATTGGGTGGGTGTTGTAAGAGGTGGTGGGTCTGGTAGAGAAGGAGGATCCGGATTCCTTCTTCTGTGCCTCTCTCTATTGTTTTTGTTTTTTATATTTAAGGCTTTGAGGGTTGCTTTCTGGAGGGTCTGCCATTGAAACAAAAAAAATTAGTAAAATGTTTTTAAAAAAAACACACTGGAGCTGCTAGGGATGGCAATTTGAACCCGGCCCGACGGGGACCCGACCCCCTGACCCCGATCAGAATGGTTTTTTCCTGAAAAATACTCTCGTGGGGATGGGGATGGTATTTGAAATTAAATCCCCGAAGTATTTCGGGCTGGGGACGGGGATAACCTTCACAGCCCCGGACCCGGCCCGTCCCCGTCCCCGGCTCTGTCCCCGTATCTTCTCCAAAGTGATATTACTGTCATACCCTTTATATATCCATGTATAAACCAAACCCAAAAAACAAACTCAATTCACTCACACAGCTTCTCTCTCTCTTTCTTTCTTCTCTACGCACGCAGATGGCAGTCTCTCACTCTCTTTCTTCTCTACGCACGTAGTCGGCGATGGCGTCGTTGCTTCTGCTCACCGCCTCCTCCTCCTCCTCCATCACCTCTCACCGCCCCCTCCTCCGTCGCTTCCTCCTCCTCTAGGCCACCGCTGAACCGTCACCTCTCGCCTCCTCCTCCCTCCGCCATGGCAGATCTGAACAGATCCTCCCTCCACCACTCAGATTTGAGCAGATCCTCTCTCCGCCACTCAGATCCTCCCTCTGGCATCCTCCTCCCTCCGCTACCGTCTGTCTGTCTGTCTCTATTTTTATTTATTTTTATTTTTTGTTTTATGATGTTGCCATTGATGATGTTCTTGATGAAAATGATGTTGTTGTTGTTGATTCCATATACACATACAGATTATTATTATTTTTTTTTGGTTGAACAGATCTATGTTTTAGTTGTGAACAGGTCTGTGTGTGTGTGTTTGTGAACAGGTCTGTCGGGGATTTATCGGGGTCGGGGAAACCCGATCCCCGTTAGGGGGCGGGGGTGGGGGAGATGATGCCTTCCCCGTCGGGGATCGGGGCCGGGGACGGGGACTTTTTATTCTTCGGGGATCGGGGACGGGGAAGGTCATCCCCGGCCCCGCCCCGCCCCGCCACGTTGCCATTCCTAATCATCATCTCTATTATCAGAATCTTACGATTCACGATTCGATTCGCAATTTTTGCAAAATCAATACGAATTTATAGGTAAATCTATTTTGAAAATGAATCTAGTGAATCACATGACTCACAATCAATTCACGATTCAATTCACTTTTTACAATTCATGCAATTTTTGAAATTATTTAGGATCGAGTAAATCCTGATGTTGATAAAATTATTTTTTAATACGCATAATCTTTATTAAAAGAATTTATAAAATAAATAATTTAAACTATTAAATCAATTCACAATAAATTTATAGTGGACAAGGCTGACTGCCCAAATTATTAAAAAATGAGTATATTCTTATAATTTGTTTTTGAAAGAAAAAGCCAAATCACTCGTTGTCCTCTTCTCATTTTCTGCTCATATACTCCGTTCACACAACGCAATCCTTTATTTTCTCTCTTTCTGACTTTTCTCTCATCTTTCCCAACTTTTCACTCTTCAATTCTCTTTGGACCTCTCACTCTTAACCTTCCTGAGAAATGGGGTTCTTTATTTTTTCTCAATGATTTATCTTTAGCTCAAATTCATTTTTTAATAGAAAATCAAGCTTAACTGTTCTTACCCAAAACCCCAAATGGACGAAAGCAGGGAAATTGCACTGACCCAGATGAGAAAATCAGTTGAAAAGCTAGGGTCTTCCACTCAGGTAAGTCACAATACTGTATATATTTATGTATGTATTAATATGTTCGTGATATTGCTATGCATAGTCAATGAAATGCTCAGTTCAGTCCCTTGAAACTGTTATGGTATTGGGTTGTAGAATTATGGAGACCCAACGCTGATGAGATTCTTGATTGCAAGAACAATGGACCCAGACAAGGCAGCAAAGATGTTTGTTCAGTGGAAGAAATGGAGGGCTGCATTGGTGCCTTTAGGGTTCATCCCGGACTCCGAAGTTCAGGATGAATTGGAAGCTCGAAAGATTTACTTACAGGGTTTATCCAAAGATGGGTACCCAGTTATGATTGTGAAATCAAGGAAACATTTTCCTTCGAAGGATCAACTTCAATTCAAGAGTAAGTTTTTGGATCACTCATTGTCTAATTAATGTTAATCTTGATTATTGTTAGTTTTGGATTTGATGAATAAGACTCCGTTTGGATCAAGTGATTTCGTGAGAAATGATAAGAAATCAAAGAGAAAAAGTACTATTTATAAGTTAGGTGAAGAATGCTGAGAAAGTATGTGAAATGGAACTCTATTCTTTTATAGGTTTCATCTAAGATTTGGTGAGAAATAACACGATTAGTTTTATAGTTTATATAATACCAAGATTGCCCATTAAAATACAAAGAAAGAAAAGAAAATTTCACTCACATTCCTGTATCACATAATCTGCTTTCTTACCTATCTAAATATTATAGTGAAAAAACACAATCATTTCTTTTGTTTATGAGAGATCACAATCATCCAACCAGAGTGTAAGATTCTTGTTTGATTGGTAGAATGATGCTTATGGGTTTTCCCTAAGAAAGTGCTTCATTAAAAGTCCATGTGCTTCATTTTGAATGGGTATGAGCTGCTTCATTTTCTGATTTCAGCATGTGAGGAATCAGCATTATCAAGAAAAATATTTTTATTTTTATACCACAAGTTAGGATTGGTTTCTTTCTGCGAATAAGATTGTGAAAAGTCTAATTGGATTCAAATTTTGGAATCTGAAATAGAGATGGCAATATGAATCCGACCCGACAGGGACCCGACCCCGGATTAAGTGGTTATCTTCCGAAAAATACTCCCGACGGGTCGGGGATAGTATTAAAAAATTAATTCCCGATGGCATTCGGGCCGGGGACGGGGATACATGTCCCGGACCCGCCCCGCCTCGTTTAGCCCCCGACGTTAAACGTATCATTATGTCCCTGGTATATATAATATATGTGTGTGTTTGTTTAGGGTTTGACATACTGCACTGCTGCTCTCATCAGTCTCTCACTCACACACGGCGCTGCTCCTCTCTCTCTCTCTTGCTCGCCGCCGTTATGTTCTTTAGGGTTTGGTCTCCCCCTCTCTTTCTCTCACCGCCGATCCTCCCTCACGCCAATCGTCCCTCACCGCCACTGCTGTTGAGTGTTTCGCCTCCCTCTCTCTCACATACGATGGGGCTGTTGCTCTCTCTGCCCCCTTACCGCACCGCCGATTTTGAAAAGGTATCTCTCTTTCTCTCTCTAGGGATTTCAAATTTGATTTAGGGTTTACATATATATATATATATATATCTGAGTGTGTAATATATATATATACATATATCGATCTAGGGAGGAGGGTTCGACTTCTTTTTTTTTTTTTTTGTCCTCTAACTAGTAGTAATATCCTGTGAACATATATGCACCTAATTCATTGTTAACTTTTATTACAAAGTGACTTAATAAACATTATAAAAATTATAATTTTCACTACAAAAGTCATAAATTACTTGTTATATGTTTTTCTTTTCTTTTTTTCTTTTTATAATTATTGTGAACTGTCAAAAAAATTGGATTAAAGCAGTAAAAAAAAAAAAAAGTACAATAAGCAAAAATATGTTTTTTATTTTTTATTTTTAATAAAAATGATTTGGATCTCTAATTCTTGAGCTCTAGGAGAGTTCTAATTATGTGGGTCCCACTGTGATGTAATTTTTTTTTATTTTTTATTTTTTTTTATGCTTGAGAGTATTAAAACGAGAGCACTAGGGGAAACATTAATGAGCTGGCTCTCCCATGATGTGATGGGTGCCTTTGTTATTTTTTGTTTTTTTTTTTACGTTTTCAACTCATTAGAGCTATTAGTACTCTATTTTTTAGAGCTCCCAACCACCTCTCATTTTTAATACCTTGCCACATGTATAGAGCTTCATTTAGAACTTTATACTTAGAGCTCTCAATCACTACCATTTTTTTAAAGATAGAAACGAATTGAATTCAATTATCACTTTATTTGATTTTAGAAAATTGAGCCCACTTTTTAGAATTTTTTATTTTGTTTTCTATGTTTTTTGTTTTTAATAAAAAATTTAATATTTTAATATATATATATATATTTTTTTTAGATTCAAAAAAAAAAAAAAGTCAAAAAAATATATTTATCTATACACTTAAAAAGTATATTATTTATAAATTTTTTTTAAAAAATTCATCAAATACTAGAAATTCTAAAAATAAATAAATATAAAAATTCAATATATTTTTGTATTTTTTTATATATTTATTTAATTTTTTAAATATTTTACTTTTTAAGTACATCTAAATTATATGCATATAAAAAGTAAAAAAATTTACTGAAAATATTAAAAAAATTAATTAAAAAATAAAAAATAAAAAAATTCAATTTTTAAAAAAGAAAAATTAGTGAAACATTCATCTCTAATTTTGAGTAATATGAGAGATCCGATATTTTTTTATTTATTTATTAAGGAGTGGTTTGAAATGATCTAAATAAGTGCATTTTTTGAATTTTTATAAAATATGGGTGGAGTATGGGTTGGGTTTGAAGTGATTTGGTAGAGAGATGATGTGACTTAAATATGATAGTGACTTTTGACTTTTTGGCTTTTTTAGGGGATGACAAACAAGTACCTTGATGAAATTGCTCTCTGATCATACCAGAGAAATTTCAAAATTTCTCCATAAAAATTAAAAATTCTGTGTTCAGGCAAATTTTTTTTGGTCTAATTTTCTCTATAAAAATATTAAGAAACCCAAATTATTATAAAAATATTATATATCATTTATCTTATAAAATCTTAATATCAAAAATTTAAAAAAAAAATCTCTTTTGAAAAAAATCATTAGTGCATCCACTAAATCAACATGGACAACCCAAAATAAATAAATAAATAAACAAATAATTATTTTGAAAAGTAGATTAAAAGTTAATTGTTTAATATTTTTTGATTTTTTTGATAAAAAAAATAAATAGAAAAATGATATGATTAAAAGAAATTGAAAGGCAAAAAACTGGCTTTTAAGAGTCAGAAAGATGGACTGGAGGCCAAAAAGTCCAAAACGCTGCCGTAGCAACTCACTCACAGTGAACCCTGCTGCACAGTAGGGACCCCACCTCCGCGGGCGCGCAGATTCGTGAATCTCTATCTCGACAGATTGTCCCTGCCCGCCTCTCTCTTCCCTCTGTTTTATCTCTCTAAAACCCTAAACCCTTTGGATCTCTCTCTATCTTTGATCCATCTGAGAAACTAGAAACCCTTGAAAATCGACTCCAAAGATGAAGACCTACGTAGCACGGACACGGGACACGATACGGACACGACACAGACACGCGGACACGCAATTTTTCAAAAAATGGAGGACACGACACGTTGGGGACACGTTTAATATATATAATTTTATTTATATATTATATGTAAAATTAAAAAATATATACTATTTGTATTTATTTGTATTTATTTATTTTATTTATTATATGCAAAATTAAAAAATATGTACTAATTTTATTTATTATATGTAAAATTAAAAAATAAATATATTATTTGTATTTATTTATATTATTTAAGACCAAAAGAAAGGTTAGGGGTTATATTATTTATTTATTTATATTATTTATTATTAGTATATAATTTATTATTAGTATATAAATATATATATATATATATGTATATATATTGTTAGTATATAACGTATATAGCTATCGATGGTTGCGTCGAAAATTTTAGCGAGCGAGAGAGAGAGAGAGAGAGAGCAGAGAGGGTCAAACGATGCGCAGAGAGGGAGACGAGGTCGATGGTCGATCGAGGGTCAAACGAGGGCGATCGATGGTCGATCGAGGTGCAGAGAGGGAGACGAGGAAGACGAACAGGTTAGGGTTTCTTCTCTCTGTCCTCAATCTGTCTCTTTCTTCCCTCGACCTATCTCCCTCTCTCTCTCTTCCCTCGATCTGTCTCTGGCTCTCTCTCTTTCTCCTCTCCAACAGTTCTAGGGCTTCTTCGATCCACCCACCTGCATGTCTGAATCATGTCCTCGTGTGTCCAACCTCGTGTCCGACTCTGAAAAATTCTGAAAAAAGGGGGACACGCAGGGGAGAGTGTCGGACACGTGTCAACAGCGTGTCGTACGCGTGTCCGTGTCCGTGTCCGTGTCCGTGTCCGTGTCCGTGTCCGACACGTGTCCGACACTAATACGCAAGCCTCAGGGACGTGTCCGTGCTTCATAGATGAAGACCAAGTACAAACCAACCCTACGACGAAGCAGATGAAGCTGAAACGCCCTAAACCCTAAGACCAAGCAACCAGATCAACGAGACGAAATCTTCAGTTTGCTGAAATCCATCACGCATCTTGCAATCCAATCTAGGTATTTATTTTTTTGAAATTGTCTTTCTGATGATGGAGAATTGCTTCAAATTTGCTACAAATTGCTTGGAATCTGTTTGAAAATTGCTTGATTATTGTTGCTTTGGCTTTTAGTCTGTTTGTTTTTTGGGTGAATTTTGTTATATGAAAAAAATATATATTTTCTGTTTGGGGGAGTTTTGTTGGGAAAAGGATGAAGGAATCCCAAAAAAAAAAAAAAAAAAAAAAAAAAAGAAGAAAAATTTGCCCAAGCTTTGGCATTGCTATAATTTGGCAGCCAATATAGCATGCCACTGGAGACATGTTTTTGCCAACTCCTGCCAAAATTTGAAAATGGCAGCTCCTTTGGCAATCCACTGTGGATGCTCTAACTGGGTTGTTTTGTTTAGTTTCTGCTTGGGGAAGCTAAAGTGATAACGTTAGTGTATTATTATTATTATGGAGAGTGAAGAGGATGCAGTAAAGAAATCACAGGTGGTAGATGCCAGGGCAAGAAACATCAGTCACAATGTCCGGTGCACTGAATGTGGCAGTCAGTCCATTGAAGACTCACAAGCTGATATTGCCATTCTCCTCAGGAAGGTAAACAATCCTAACCATACATATCCAATACTCAGATTGGTCTACCTATGTTTTATGTGGTTGGGTATGTGGTTGATTCTGTGTCCATAGACTTGGTTGAATTGTTTTGATATCTTCCTTCTTATAATATGTATGTGTGTCGAGTTGGGGAACTTTGATATGCCTTTACTTGATGGTTGAACAACAAGAATGGTTTGTAATCATTCTTAGTGTCATTATAATAAGGGTAAATTACACTGACCACCCCCAAAAATGATATGATTAAAGTGGTTTAGAGAAATTACAGCGAGTTCCATAGTTTTGACGTAATTACATTGAGCACCCTTGAGGTTTTAATTCACATAACACTTAGCCACATTTTCATCAATAATTTGTTAGTTATATGGATGAAAAAAATGATGTTATCATCTCTTTTACATGAAAATATATATTTTACGTTGTTTTTGTGTTTTCACATCATTTGCATTAGTTTCAATCCATGTAACCTTACTAAAAGGGAGGTCAGTGTAATTTACCCTTATATTAATTAAATATTGATGGATGAGCTAAAATATAACCATGCATTACCTTTTTGCTCGGGATGATCACATAGCTAGCTTGGAAAGAATATTGAATTTTTTGTTTAATTGAAAGCGGTTGATTAGATCTAGTTCTCCTACTTGGGAGAAGTTCATGGAACTCCAACTGCAGCAGGTATAAATTATCTGATTTAGTGCCTCACTGTTGCTGCCTTTCTTGTTATCGTGCTATTAACACCATAAACTGTATATTGTTATCACAAAAGAGTAACTTGGTGTCTTGGCTTGTATTGGAAGGGAGAGTTTTGACAGTTTCAGATTAGAGGAGTATTCTTGAAAATCAAGCAACATTGATGTTTGGAAGTTCAAGGCCTCATTAACTTGTGTTACAGTCCTCCCATTGGCTTAACAAGTGAATCAAAAAAGCATCATGAACAGTAGCGAGTAACATTTTTCTTTTGTGCATACTCTTCTATGGAAGTGCTACAGTAGTATATTAGTATAAATCAAAAGAACGAAGCCTTTATTTTGCTACTGAAACTGTATTGAGTTAATTCTTTCCAATAATCAAATTGCAATAAGCATGTAACTTGAACTATAGCATTTAAACCACTCCCAGAACTACATAGATGTGTTGCCTAACGAAACACAAGCTTCAAACCATCAATTTTGGTGCTCTGAAGAATGATGACATATCGATGTGGCTTTTCTGGACACTATTCTTTTTTAAACTCCATTGTAGAGTTTAGACAAGTATTTTGGAATGACAAATCATATTCTTATGTTTAATACACTTTGGCAGTTAGGAATGAAGTGTATCTATCTGCAAATGCTTACGAATGGATTACATTTTATTGGTCCAAACAAATTTAAGAAATACACAAACCATGCTTTGTCTCATGATCGTGCATTTTTGTTTCCAAATTAACACATTATTCTAGTACAGGCTGAAAATTTTATTTAATGCCTGTCCTTTCTTTTCTTTATGATGTTTTGGTGTTTTTTGAAACTGAGTTTAACAATCTTGTCAATCTCATGTTATATATTCCTCTTATATACACATCAACAACTCAACCTGTATACTGTTAATTTTGGGTCTGTACTCCAGTTAATTCGTGATGAAATTCAAGCTGGGAAATCTGATAAAGAGATCTATAGAAAGCTTGAGGATGATTATGGGGAGACAGTATTGTATGCACCAAAGTTTGATTTGCAGACTGCAGCTTTGTGGCTATCACCAGTAAGTTTAAGACGACCTTTAACTATCTAATTTTATCCTCAAAAATTTTTAAAAAAAAGTTGTTTTTCTAAACGTTGGGTTTTGGAACAGCTCCTAGTTGCAGGCGCCGCCGGAGGAATATGGGCATACAAAAAGCATAGGCAAAATACTAATGTCCACATCATGGCTTTGAACCTTGTTAGAGGTGTTTCATTGACTCCAAAAGAGAAACAAACAATGCTAGATCTCCTGACACCTCCTCCCTCAGAAAGAACTAATTCATCCTCATGGTGGAGGAAGTGGCTTCCTCAATAATAATGTCAGTCTTCCTGTTGCTCTTTCCTTTCTTGGAGGTGAACTTTGTGGTGGGAAACTAAAGAGAAGTTTGCATCCCAGTTTGCTAAAGGAAGCATTAGCCCGATGAAGAGTTTTGTGGCTTTCATCTCAGCAGCCTCGATTTGGACTTTCCGATGTAGAACTCTAGTTTATCACATAATTTTGTATTACAGCCAATGCTCAAGTTAATGACTGTGTATTGAGAATGTTGTTAGGCAATTTCTTGACTTTATATTTTGATACATTTGATAGTAATAGTCATGTTTTGAATAATAGTCTCGATTATGAGTTGCAAATATCTGATTCAACTTGTCTCTGAACTGAACATGACTGGATTTCAGTTTTTGAGTGAAATTTTGAACCAGTATTATTAGGCATAGCATGGCACGAAAATTGTGTTATATCTGTCTCAATGTTTTTTTATTGAATATTTTTAATTGTCAAATGTTATTTTTCAGGTAGCAATGCTGATATTAGGAAGGTTGGTGGATACTGTTAGAATATTTTAATGAAAATACATTTATTTCTATAGTTTGTAACTCCCAAAAATCTCTGGCTTCCAAAATTATTGCATGCTTTAAACACTACTAATGGTGCATTTAATTTCCTTTTAGTATACAACTTTATGGTCATTCAAATCCTTATTAATTTGAGTTTAATATGATGTAAATTCTAAGTCTATTTGATCTCTCTCTCTCTCTCTCTCTCTCTCTCTTACAATTTGTCTTGTTTGGAGACTTAGGAATTACCACCAAAAAACAAAAGTTATATTATCTCTCTCTCTATCCCCCTTTCTAATTGAGAAAATCTTCTATTTTATAGTTTTTGGACAATTTAATTCGTGACTTTTAGTTCAAGCTTCTGGGTGGTTTTGAACATCAAACAAGCGATTAGCAACTTCTGTTAAGACTCTCATGAAAGGAGAAAAAGTAAATTTAAAATAGTGACAATATAATTTATAAAGTCTCACACACTATATTTCTCAACTTTATTTTAATCCCGTTTATTTCACATTTTCTATTATAGTATTCATGCTTAATATTCTGTTATTTTTACTGCTAGACTAACCTATACAAGTTGTCTGCATTAGACATTGCTAGCCCAGCAAAATAACGAGGAAAATTTACCCATAAATCTTTTATGGGAGAATATTGATCCATTTAGTGCTAAGAGTTTTTTTATGAAACAATTAGTCCTTTTTATTTTGAAAAATTGTATTTATTTGATTTGGTGTCATTTGAATTTATGTGAATGCCCTTCTATGATTTATTTTTCTAATTTTCTGATCGTTTTTGAGATGAGAATGGAAATGTGAGGTCTGAAAGGTTCTTTTTGGAGGGATTGGTGGTTGAAGTATTGGTTGTCGAATATGAAAATTTACATTTTTGTTGGTGTGGTTTTTTAGTGTTATATTGAAGTGTTACATTAGAGTGGTACGTTTGAAAAAAATATACTAAATAATTTTTGTATGTTGCATTGATTGGAGTGTACGTTTAGGAAAAGTACAATAAGAATTTTTTTTTTGGAATGTTATGTATTATGTTTGAGAAAAATATATTAAAGAGTTTTTAAGTGTGTTATACTAGAGTGTTACGTTTGTTAAAAGTACACTATGGAGTTTTTTGTGTTACATTGTTTGGAGTGTTATGTTTGAGAAAAGTACATTAAAGAGTTTTTTGGAATGTTACGTTCTTATGTCTCGGAAAAGTACAGTAAGAAGTTTTTTAGTGTGTTACATTGGAATATTATATTTAGAAAAAGTACACTAAGAATTTTTTTTGGAGTGATGCGTTTATTAATTTCAACATTATGAGAAAGCTTGTATTTGTCCTTCAACACATAAGACACGAGTTTTTATGCTTGTCCATTTATGTAATTTATACTAGAATGGGACCTTTGGTTTCATAAGAAAAAAAGAAAGACTAAACCGTTCATAAAATCATTATTTAGAATTTATTGGTGTTTCACTCAAATAACAAACACAATGTGAAGCACAAATAATATAAATAAATTGGCAAAAAAATATAGTATAAACAAAAAATTAATTAGAGTTGAGAATAGTAGCTTGTGAGAATCTGAGAATCGCGTTATTATTATCTTAAAATGAAGAGCAATTTCAAAATAAAACGCAGCTTGTTTCCAATATCTCTAGTCTAGTTTTCACAACCACTACCAGATTTGAATAAAATCATGAACTAAAATTTTTCAAAACATCAATACAAAATAGAATTGTTTTTAGCATGAAAGAATAAATGTGTTTCCCAATATGTTAACCAGGGAGGATGGTTGGTATTTATAATATTCAAAAATGAAACAACTCCTTTAATAATTTCTTTTACATATGTATTTGCATTATGAATTTGAATAAGATTTTTTTTTAAAAAAAAATTGAACTTACATTTTATTTATATTTAAATAGAGACCACTAGCACGATAGTTGAGGATATTAATTTAGTGTCAAACTATCAAAACGAGGATTGTGATCCTCTCAATGAGTAATATTAGAGATCTCAAAAATTTTAATCAAATGTTTCATATGAGTGTAGACATTTGGTAAAAAATTTAGTAAAATTTTTATAGGGTCTCTAACATTTTTCTCTCTCTCCATTACAAAGTTCTAATAAAAGATCTTCATTGCATCATTTAAAGACTTGTAATGATTCTTTCAAAATTTAAAATATTAATAAATTCTAATATGGGAGTTGCGCTATTACTATCTTAGAACAGAGTGGAGCAACTTCAAAATAAAACTCAGTTTCCTTACAAGATCTCTCATATAATTTTCACGACCACCAAGAGACTTGAATCAAGCTATGAACCAAAATTTTTCAAAACATCAATTGAAAATTGAATTGTGTTTAGCGTGAAGAATAAGGTATTTCCCAATATGTAAACCTGGAAGGATGGTTGGTATATATAGTATTAAAAAATGAAACAACTCCTTTAATCATTTCTTTTATATTTATGTTTGCATTATGAATTTGAATAAGAAGTTGAAATAAAAAAAAATTAAAAAAATTAACTTATATTTTATTTATATTTAAATGGAGGCCAATAGCACAATAGTTGACGATATTAATTTAGTGTCAAACTATCCCAACAAGACTTGTGATCTTATCCATTTCAAAGTTACAATGGGAGATCTCCATTGCATTATCTAAGAGCTTGTAATGATTGTTTCTAAATTTAAAATATTAATAAATTTTCATAATTATTTCACAACTATAATAGAGATCTTCCATTATAACCATGAAATAAAAAGGATCTCAGTCGCCATTAAAAATTGAAAGGGCATTTTGTCAACAAATGCACAATAGTTGTTTGAGTGAGACACACTTAAAGTTTTTTCAAAAAATTTATATAAAACAACTGGTAAATTTGTGTTTTTTAAATTAAAAAGCCCATTAAAGTTATTTATGAATTTTAAAAAGGTATGCCACACTATTCTTGGAGAATTTTTTGTATGGATTTTTATTTGCATATTAGTTTTTGTGAATTAAAGAAAAGAAAGAGTGATGCTATTAGCACCCCATCAATTATTTTGAACCTCCCAATTTTTTTGGAACCCTACCTATAAATTCTAAAATCCTTAAAATTTCTTTTCTCTCCTCATATAATACCAAAAATATCCTTGCGAAAACATTTCACTCATTCAATTGACTGCACACTTCCACACTCCCACACCCTCACACCCCAAGAAGCTTTTCTCCCCAAAACCCTATCTCCCAAAAATCCTATCAAAACCCACGAAGGTGATTACTACTTCATCTCCACATACTTGTTCATGACTTAAGAAAATAAATGTAGGATTTTTTCGTTGTTGATTCAAAATTCTCCTTTTGTGGGTTCTGCGATCTCCACGAGTTTAGATTTGTGATCTCTCAGGTGGTTTTTTTTTTTTTTTTTTTTTTTTTTTTTTTTTTTTTTTTTTTTTTTTTAATTCTTTGACAATTTCAATTCTTGTTCCTTATCTTACATAGGTTTTGTGATTTTAAAGTTTGAAAAAGGTTCATTAATTAATTTTTATTTTGAAATAAAAGGACATCTTCCATAGAGATGTTAAAACTGTACTACGTGTTAGTGTATTGAAGGAAAAATATACGGGTAATCATATTACTTGATGCGGAAACAGTTTGAATCGGATGCTTGAATTACGAGCCTCGTCTGAAAAATCCTCCGTCAATTGAGAAGCCACTAGAGTTTCTTAATATTTATCCACACTCCAAATTCCTAGGCTTTCAAGATGGTAGCCTCAAGATAGATGAATAGAGAGAGAACTTATTGATTTTGGTGTATCTTCACAAGTTTGAGCATGAGCCCTTATATAGGCATATGTAGCAAACCATGTGTAGCTCATGGTTAGGCCACACCACATGTCCAAGACCATGTGTCCCTCATGATTTCCAAGACATTTGGCCCTCATAGTTAGGCCATGTGTGGATGGACTATGTGTACCTTGTGGCCTTCAAGATTAGGCCACACCATGTGTACCATGAGCTCACGCCATGTATATTTATCACATGGTTTCCAATATCTCCCACTCATCTACACATCTGCATCATGTGTTATATGCTCAAGTATCATTTCTTAATCTCTCATTCAATCCACTCCTCATACGAAAAAATAGAGCGTGCGACCTAACGGGAAGGTATAATGTCACGACCCAAACCCGCTCCTATAGGTTTAGCATCGTAACCGGCCAGTAATCTTTGGATTTCCAAAGGCTTCTGAACAGAATATCGTATAATCAAAGGGCTACGGAAGCAAATAATTTTAAACTTTATAAACATAAGCATGACATCACATAGGTACAGTAATTATACATCACCCCAAGTACAGATAACCAAAAGCAAACTGTTCATTAAACAAGGGAAAACAAAGTGTTGAACGTTCAAAAGACATGGCCACACGACTTGACTTGGTTCGGAACCTCCTCAGGAGGCGCAAAGGGTGGGTGACAAAATAGAATCCCAGGCCATTAATTCTGGTTCTAATCATGTGCCTGGTCACCTACATACATAATATAAATAGTGAGTGGAAGCCCAGTGAATAATAACGGAGTAAAGGATTTAATGAATGAAGTCCATACTAGATTCAAAAATCAGATATATATATATATGTGTGTGTGTGTATATTCATATTCAGATCATATACAGAAATCAGAGTTCATGTTTAATCATACGTGGTATATCCATTAGCGCTAACAGAATAGACAAAGAATAGATGCAGAATAGATGGTGGTCATGAGTAACCAGTTCCATAAAGGAACCTCCGGATACGGGTAACAGATGACGGACATGCTAAGCTCTATGATAGAGCCTCCGGTACGGGTAACAGAGTGCAGACATAATAAGTTCCATAATAGAACCTTCGATACTGGGT